ATAAAATGCAACAGGACAGGCGACCCGACCTGCAGGAGTAAACAGTCTCTCCCTCCTTAAACACACGGCCACAGAGCTGAGAGGAGGTGCTGCCTTGCTTGAGCTTCTCCAGACCATCTTGAGGATCCTCTCCGAACAGAAAGCACTCCAGAGGGTGGAGGAGTCGCCTCTGCATGAGCTCCTCTTCTTCCTGAGGGCTGAGGTCCTTCTTCAGGCAGAAGATCTGGGGCACCTGGTCCTTCAGGTGCTGGAGCAGCTCCGCCCTGTAGTCTGCCGCCTCCAGCCATTCCTTTAGGGACAACAAGGAGGAAAAAAAAAAAAAAAAACGCCCTGTTGACTATTGATACAAAACCATGTGAACCCTTCAGAAAAAAAACAGTGAGAGTACACATTCACTTTTAGATGGACATCAAAATAATCAACTGAAGTTAAAATACCTTTCAGCTTTTACAATCACTTCTGTTGAAGGTGGCTTCAGTTTAACAAAATTCACAGCCAATTTTCCTGTTTTCGTGTCAAAGTTTTGCAGTAATCTCTGCTGATGTTAAAACCTTATAAATGTAATGTGTATAAATCTCAGACGGGATGGAAGGATGATGAATATATATATATATATATATATATAGAAGAACGGACAAACAAATGGATGATCAGGAAATGGCTGCAGGAATATCTGATGTATAGCCATGAGAAGAATTGATTTATGGAAATACAGACATTTAAATTCTTAATTATACACTTTTCTTTGTTAAACAATCAGCTGTGATCTATAACAGCCAAAAGGGATGCATTATTTTCATAACTATAACTTGGGATCTTTACAGATGAAATACCAAAGGTCTGTTTGGATGCAATGTTTGGCAAGTTAGACCACTCAATCAATCCTGCATTAAAAATCTGCTATCTAGGAATCTATCTATCTTGGATGGGCATCTTCTATCCACAGATGACAGCTCTTCTGAGAATTAGAAACCAAAGTAATAAAGTAGAGCAAAAAATACCAAAACAAATGTCCTACAGTCATTAATTTTATTAATCACACATTTATATTAATTCATTTTCGGTCTCAATTTATGGAAAAACAGACCTGGGGATCTTTAGCTGTAGTTTAAACCAATCATCACATGGACAAGAGATTATTTTAAATAAGTTTAAAAGTAACATAGGAGTTGGTTCAAAGCACAGAAGTCTGACTTATACAGAAATTTCTGATCTGGTGAGATTTTATTGCCCAACTATCACTAACACCTTTTGAAAAAAGGGTCCAGAAAAAAAGAAAATATCTAGTAAGAGACAGTTTTAGGAGTGAAATACATTTGATAACAGAAGGAAAGCACTGTGGACAGGTCAGCATTCACAGAAAAGTCAAACCTAACAGTCATATTTTTCCTTAATCAAATACCACACGTGTTTTCTTGTGGTTTTATATATAAAAACTATTATGCCCAAAGTGATGCATGCAGTGTGAAGATCATCAGATCCTTATCAAAAACACTGTTTTATTGAATCAACGCCCCTTGGCAGGACTCTCAAACTGAATCTAGATAGTTATAAAAAAAAGCAGCAGGATCTGTTTTACTTTCACCTTAAAGAGATAGCTAGAACAATGTAGAAAAGCAGCCCTAGTGTCAAACCGCAAACAACAACACAAACCAAACTGACACAGATTTTTATAAGCAGATCAGACCAATGCTGCTCTAAAACTAAAGATGAGCCTCATATTTAAACAGAAACAAAATAATACTTTAGCCATAAATACATGAAAATAAACTAGTTATGGGGCATTAATTCTAAAACAAATGACTAATCGTGGTGCAAACCTATTCCCATATGTCAATAAACACGCGAAGGTTTAATTGGAGGCTCTGAGGCTAGTTGGTGGTTAGCCTGCAAGCTCTGTTAGCTTAGTCGGAACGGTGATGTCCGACAAAGAAATAAGACGGTTTTATTCACAGAAATCTTCCCGGTGCAGTCCACAATAACCCATCAGACTGCGGGTCAGCTGTCAGCTCAATATAAACTCAGAACATCTTACCTGACTGAGCTGAAGCCCATCTGACGGCTTCTCTGTGTCCGCCATGTTCCGCTGCTGTTCACGGAGCATACGTCACAGAGGGGACCTTCCTGTGGCAAAAAAACACCTCTGGAAAAGAAAACAATCATAATTTCTTTAATGAACTGACACATTTTCTACGGAACAGGATTAGGGCCAATGAAAAAAATAAAACAGTTTACTGATTTTTAAATTTACTTTCAGTATAATGAGATTAAAGTCAGAATGCTGACTTTATTCTCACAATTCGGATTTTAATCTCAGAATTCTGACTTTAATCTCAGAATTCTGACTTTATTCTCA